CTCAAGCTGCTGCCCTGGGTAGAGTGCTATGGTATCAGCTCACAGCAACCTCAAACTCTTGGGCTTAAGTGATTATCTTGCCTCAGCCTTCCAAGCAGCTGGGACTACAGGCGCCTGCCACAACTCCTGGCTATTTTTTGGTTGCATTTGCCATTGTTGCTTAACAGACCCAGGCCAGGTTTGAACCCACCGCCCTAGGTGCATGTGGCTGGCGCCCTTGCTGACTGAGCTATGGGCACCCCCCATCGGCTATTTTTGTTGTTGCAGTTGTCATTGTTTAGCTGGCCCAGGCAGGGTTTGAACCCGCCACCCTTGGTACATGTGGCTGACGCTGTAACCACAGTACTATGGGCGCCAAGCCTATTTTTTAATTTTTTTTGAGATAGTCTCCCTATGTTGCCCTTGGTAGAGCGCTATGGCATCAAAGCTCACAGCAACCTCAAACTCTTGGGCTTTAGCAATTCTCTTGCCTTAGCCTCCCATGTAGCTGGGACTACAGACGTTCACTACACCACCATGCCAAGCTATTTTGTTGTAGCCATTGTTTAGCAGGCTTGCCTGCCTTGGTGTATGTGGCTGTCACCCTAACCACTGAGCTACGGGCGCTGAGCCTCTCAAAATTTAAAAAAGATAGTCTTGCTCTGTTGCCCAGGCTAAAGTTAGGTTTAACCCATGAAGCCTGCCCACTCACCCTCCTTCCAGGCTGCTTCTCAGCTGGCTCCTTCCTTTCTAGAACTTTCCTTTCTTTGACATCTAAGAGGTTTCCCTCTGCCCCAGGAACCTTGGAGAGGAGCTGCCAAATGAAGCAAAGCCTGAATTTCTATCCTTTTTAGCCTGGGCAGAGAAATCACACAAACTGAACCTGTCAAACTCAGTGGGAGGTGGAGGACCAGCCATGGCAAAGGGGCCTGTTGGCATGCTGATGGGCTCTGACATCTTCCACAGCTTCCACCCCAGCCCCCTTCCCTTCCTCACCTTGGCTTTTAGGGTCTTTAGGAGAAGCAGGTGTGGATACAAATCAGCCCGAACAGATGTTTCTTTGGAGAGGCAAAGCTTCCTGGGCCTTTGAGTCCCTGCAGTGTTAAGTCTCTTCTCTCCAAATAAAGAGAGCCAAATCTGCACAAAACGTGGTGGGGACACACCACTGGTCCCAGTGGGGTCACTTGTACATACAGCTCTCACATACCCCTGGCTGTGAACCTCAGGTGGAAGGATTTCCTAAACAAGCCAGATTTTCTTCCAGCAGCCAACTCTTGTCAGAAGTTTTGAGTGATAATTGCTTTTATGTTTTTTTTTTTTTTTTGTAGAGATAGAGTCTCACTTTATCACCCTCAGTAGGGTGCTGTGGTGTCACAGCTCACAGCAACCTCCAAGTCTTGGGCTTAGGTGATTCTCTTGCTTCAGCCTCCCAAATAGCAACACAGGTACCTACCATAACGCCTATTTCTGGTTGCAGTTTGGCGGGGTCCGGGTTTGAACCTGCCGCCCTCAGTATATGGTGCCAGTGCCCTACCCACTGAGCCACAGGCGCTGTCCTCATCTTTTTTATTTTCTTCTGAGACAGTCACCCAGGCTGGAGTGCAGAGGCAAAGACACTTACCCTCCTGTATCCTCCAACTCATGGGCTCAAATGAACTTCTCACCACCTCAGCCTCCCAAGTAGCTGGGACTGCAGGTGCACACCAGCATGCCTGGCCAATTTATTTATTTATTGTGAGACAGTGTTTTTGTTGCCCTCAGTAGAGTGCTCCGGTGACATAGCTCACAGCAACCTCAGACTTAGCATCCTGAGTAGCTAGGACTATAGGTGCCTGCTACAACACCCAGCTATTATTAGAGACAGCATCTCACTGTTGCTCAGGCTGTTCTCCAATCTTGGACTCAAGTGATCTCCTATCTCAACCTCCCAATGTGATGAGATTCCAGGTGTCACTGAGCCTCACCAAAAAAGTTATATAGTTGTATGATGCCGTCTTCCCATTAGAGTTGAATTTGATGGGAACTGCTGAAATTCATCTGTCGAATTGCTATAGATGTGTAGAGTCCAGTGGCAGAGAGGACTTCCGGGGACAGTGATGTCCTCAGCAGGGGAGGGCATAGGAACATTAATTGTCAAACACCCAGAGTGCCTGGACCCACAGCAAAACCACTGAATACGGAGGACCCAAAAGGCAGGGGTGAAGGCTGGGGCCCCTACCTTGGGGAACAAGCCAAGAGAACAGCCAGCACCTCTATGCCTCTGTACCATGCTGCCTCAAGCCTAGGTGCTATGCTCCCCACCCCGTCTCTCCTTTTACACACTTGACCCCTTCCTGCTCAGAGGTACAGACCCCAGGGTGTCAGTGGAAGACGTGAAAAGAAGGAAGGAAGGTATGCCCCATGCTGGCAGTTTGAGGCAGAGCTTGCAGCCTGGATCCCAGTGAACTGTGGTGGGGTGGAGTCCCTGTGGGGGCCAATGAGCCTTGCCAGGAGGGTGCCAACCAGGAGCTGGCAGGGCCAGGCCTGGAATGTGACTGCCAGAGGCAGTACCAGGGAACTTGCTGGAAACTACACACAGAGGCACAGAGTAGGCTGGTCTAGAGTGGAATCAAAAGTGAAGGTTCCTGTCCAATTTAGGTGGTGCACCTGGGCCCTCGTGAGGTTAACGTGGGGCCAAATGTGACTTCAAAAGGCCCTCAGTAATTCTACCTGCACAAGCCTCGTCTTGGAAATGCTGAGACACAACCATACTGAACCAAATGGTGGCTTGGGGCACTGGGTGTCCTGGGATTCTGAGCAAACCAAAGAGCATCTGGCCTGTTGGAGCTTGAGCACAAGGTAACAAGAGGAGAAACCCAGAGCTCACAGTAGTGCTAGCCCATGCCTCAGCTGAAGAATGTGATGAATTTTAACTCTGAAGGGATTCTTCTAACTGCAATTTTTTTTTTTTTGAGTCTCACTATGTTGCACTCAGTAGAGTGCTGTAGTGTCACAGCTCACAGCAACATCAAACTCTTGGGCTTAAGTGATTCTCTTGCCTCAGTCTCCCAAGTAGCTGGGACTACAAGTGCCCACCACAATGACTAGCTACCTCTTACTGCAATTTTAACTAGGCTTTGCTGAAGTCCTCTGGAATTGGACTGAAGAGCCAATACCCTACAGTACATGGCACCTTGGCATGCTAAGCACGTTGAAAGGAGTCTAGATGGCCTCAGAAGCTGGCCTCTGCTCTTCTGTCCGCCTTTCTCCCTCAAAGCAACACATGAAACCAGAATTCTGGCTTGGTGCCTGTGGCTCAAGTGGCTAAGGCACCAGCCACATATACCTAATGTAGTGAGTTCCAATCCAGCCTGGGCCCGCCAAACAACGATGGCTGCAAACAAAAAACAGCCAGGTGTTGTGGTGAGTGCCTGTGGTCCCAGCTACTTGGGAGGCGGAGGCAGGTGACTTGCTTGAGCCCAGGAGTTGGAGGTTGCTGTAAGCTGTGATGCTATGGCACTCTACCCAGGGGGGACAGCTTGAAGCTCTGTCTCAAAGAAAAAAGAAACCAGAATTCTTCCCCAAGGCAGGTGAGAAACTAGGACTCTTCTCTCCAAAGCAAGCTCTGAAACCTAGAAAGGTCACTCTCCCTTCAACACTCATTCTGAGGGGTCCTTGCCCATATCCATTGGAAGGAAAGTTGCAGAGAGGCCCTGCTGAGTTACCTCCTCAGTCTGTCATCATTAGGTCACATATACACACAGGGTGTCCATAGTTTTTTTGCAATTTAAAACAGCCAACTTGGCTTGGTGTCCCTAGCACAGTGGTTATGGCACCAGCCACATACACCAAGGCTGGTGGGTTTGAATCCAGCCTGGGCCAGCTAAACAATAATGATAACTGTAATAAAAAATAGCCAGGTATTGTGGTGGGTGCCTATATTCCCAGCTACTTAGGAAACTAAGGCAAGAGAATCGTTTACACCCAAGAGTTGGAGGTTGCTGTGAGCTGTGATGCCACAGCACTCTAACAAAGTCAATATACTGAGACTGTCTCAAAAATAAATAAAAATAAAATAGCCAACTATTACAACTTGCACACAAACTTTATGGACACCCTGTGTGTGCATATTTTTATTTTTTTGGAAACAGTCTCACTCTGGCGCCTGGGATAGAGTGCTATAGCATCATCATAGCTCATGACAGCCTCTAACTCCTGGGCTCAAGTGATCCTCCTGCCTTAGCCTCCCAGTAGCTGGGAGTGTGGGTGTTTGCCATAATGCCCAGCTAATTTTTTCCATTTTTAGTAAAGACAGGGTCTTTCTTTGTTCAGGTTGGTCTCTAACTCCTGAGCTCAAACAGTCCTCCTGCTTCAGGATCCCAGAGTTCTGGGATGCATAAGCCACCATGCCTAGCCTAGATCATATCCTTTTGACTAATCATTTATCTACACAGCTGTCCCTTCTTTACCAAACCTAAGAATAAGAGTCTTCCCTAGGTCTTTAGGTCTTTGAGTACTCCTATGTCATATAAAACTTTAATTACTAGCACTTAGGGAGGTCAAAGTGGGAGATTCAGTGAGTTCAGGTGTTCAAGGCCAGCCTACCCAAGAGGATAAGACTTTGTCTCAATACTTAAAAACAAACAAACCAAAAAACTTTATCATGTTTCTTACTTGCTAACCTGTCCACCTTCTGTGGTTTTAAGCTACAGAGTTTGTAGTAGTGATGGACACTACCACAGAACACTGATGCATCATTAACCTGTGGTAGCCACTCCCTGTGCTTCTCCTGAGCCTCTCCTCTCACACCAGTGGGAGCCCATGCACCCTGTGGGCACCTCAAGGCAGGAAATATTTACCAAATGAGCAAACCAATGAAGATGCTGGGTCTTGTTTCTAACCTGAGGTGTGGTTCTTATACATGTGTCACACTGACCTCATCTACCTCACATCTGTAGGGACATGTGATCAGGGTGCTGGAAACTCAACACTGGAGTGTGTACTAGTGGCCAGAGGGCAGGCCTCAGTGGTGCCATGCAGTCATACAGACGTGGGCAAACTCCTGTGGGTCTCCTGGCAGGAGAGGAACAAACCCTGGAGCACCACGCTGTGATGGCAGGACATTCAGCCACCTGCAGGCCTGTCTTCCTCTCCCAGCTGAGGGGACAGTCTTATCACTCAGATGCTAGATGTGAGGAGCTTCCATATTCTGGGTGCCTCAGTCTACCCATCACTGTAACTCATCTAGGGTGACATTGTGTCATTCTGTCCCTTTAAGGGTAAACCACTGGAAGTCAAACGATGCCACCCTTTGCCTCTTCTCCACAGCGTGGGTAAGCATTTCTCTGCTTTGTAGTCAACTGTTGGTTCTATGGGTGTCCTGGAGCCAGCGGAGCACAGCAGCCAAGCCAGTGCCTTTCCGGGCGCTGATTTCTGCCATGGTGATGTTCTGCTTGGCACAGGCAATGATGTCTGGAAGCCTCATTAATGACTTAATCTCTTCTATGGTCATGTAGCAAGGTAGGTCACTAGGGTTAAAGAAGTGCCCTGTCAGTGGGGTAGCTCCATAATCTTGTCCCTGTCCCCCAGCCATACCTCCTCCCTAAGGAGCCATGCTCCTGGCCACCTTCAAGGGAGCTCCTCCCTGGGCCCCCCTCTGTGTCTCTTCTTGGCTCATTACTCATACATTTTATTGAAGAGTATCATGACTGATGCTTCTTCAAGTTGTTCTGCAGAAAGGAGACTCAAGAGGTGCATACAGGACGCAGAGAGCTGGGTGGGATTAGAGACATCTATCATGAACTGGAGAAGAAGAAAAAGACATCAGTAACAACCTAACACCCTGTTATGAAAGACTGTGGTTGTCAAATCCCTCCCACCCCCAAATTACATAACTGGCTAAAGAAGAATGAAATGATGTTGAGCATAGGGCTTTGGAACAGGCACAGGTAGAAACAGATGCACTGTTTCTACTGCATCCTGCACTGTGTGAAGATGGCCTGGAGTCACCTGTGTCTGTTCCCACCTACATGGCAGTTGGTGCTCACTGGGGCTTGGGCATGGGCTTTGTTAAGATGGGGCCCAGAGAGATGTAGAAATCAAACATAAATATGCAAACCTACCCAGGGGAACAACACAGAGAGAACAAACTCTACCCTCAGCAAGCCTTCCATGAGTGCTCACACTTGGGAGCACAAACCCCAGAGATCAGATTGGGTGCCCTGCAGAAAACAACTCTAGTGTGGGCTCTGTTTCCTTTAGTAGCAGTAAAGAATCCCAGCTCCATCCTACAATGAGGTCTGGGACTAGACAGCATAGGAATGTGGACATATATCCTTTAAGAAAGTTCACAGAATTATTACTTACCAGGAGAGAATGGCAGTTTCCATAATAACTGGACCAGATGGGGCCCATGCAGCCCCCCAGCTCCCGGATGGTGATTTTTCTCTGAGCTGTGATGTCAGTCAGATTGGTCCCCACCTGTCAGAAACCCCGAGAGACAAAAAGAGAATACAAACACTGTCCCGTTTGAACCCCTGGGCAGCAGTACGCCTGCCCACACTCTACACTGTGCCCTGAAGCCCCGTCGGGCCATTCTTCTAGGGCTCGAGACCTAAGGCAGGCCCGGCTAAAGATGCTTCCCGGGATCCAGGGCCCCAACATTCAGGGCTGGCTGGCTGGCTGTGGCCGGAGCACCCGAGCCCACCAGTGAGATTCACCCTGGGGGCCACCTGCGAAATGAATCCCTGGGGAGTGGAGAAGAAAAGTATCTGTGGGAGGGCGGCGGACTCTGGATGCCCTCAGCGGAGGCTCCCGCTCACCCCTCTCAGAGGCTGTCCTTAACACGCTGACCGGCTGCATCCCAGCGTTCGGCAGAGGAGCCTGAGTCTGTTTTTTGGTGGTTGTTGAGACAGAATCCTATCCTAAGCCCTTGAGAAGAGTGCAGTGGCGTCGTAGCTCACTGCAACCTCAACCTCGGGCTGTGGGCATCTCTCCCTCTGCCTCTGGAAGCTGCTGGGATTACAGGCGCTCACCACCACGCCCGGCTGGGTTTTTCCATTTTTTTTTTCATGAGTCGGCGAGTCACAAGCTCCTGAGCTCAAGCAATTCTCCCTCCTCAGCCTTCCACAGTGCTGGGATTACAGGCGTGAGCCACCGCGCCCGGCGACCCTGAGTCTCTTTACAAACCAAACAGGTTACCCATTCCAGTGAAACCGTGACAGGAGGACACTTACCGTGGGCCGCGTCGGGGGCGGCTCCCCCAGGTCGCCAGTCCCATCCCGAGAGCTCAGCTGTGCGGGACGGTCAAGGACCCGTCCGAGCAGAGTGGTAGGGCGAAATCCCCGCCCCGGCACCCCGCCCGCAGACCCCAGGCACCCGCTGCCCGCCCGTCCCGGAGAGGAAGGATATTCTGGAGGCGCTTTACCAGGAGCGTCTTCCCCACGCCTGCGGGCCCCAGGAGCAGACACATGCCGACCCTTCGCTCCCCCAACACCCGTAGCTCTGCGACGCGGTGCAAGGCCCGCCCTGGGCCCCGCCCTCATGGGTAGGTCTCACTTCCGGACTGCTCATTGGTTCTAGGGTTTACCGTCCAATAGGCGCACAGCGTCGGGTGCGAGCGGAAGGCCTCGCCTTGTCGCGGCTCTGGGATCGCGGCGTGAGTAGCGGAAATCCCCCCCCCCCCACCGGGCGGGTGGGGAAGAAGGCGGAAGCGGAAGTCGGGGGCGCGCCACCTGGTAGCGAGGGAGAACCCGTGGCGTCGGGTCCGGGTCCGAAGTGGCGATGGGGAGAGGCAGCGGCACCTTCGAGCGTCTCCTAGGTAACGCGCCCCCGCCTGCTGGCTGCGGCCAGCGTCCTCCCTGCTCCCCCTGCCCGGCGCTGAGTCAGCGCTGTCCCGCGGGTCAGAGGGGCGCAGGCCGGACGCCCTGCCGGTCCGCAGCCCGGGCCCGCCGTCCCCTGGCGCGGGGTCGCAGATCCCGCGGCCCGGGTGTGGCTTGCCGAGCCGTGGGGCCGTGTCCGTCTGGCGTTAAGGGGCCCAGGCTCTGGGGTCGGCGCAGCACAGGCCGCCCTCGGGTTCCGCAGGGCTGCGCCGTCGACCGACTTGCCCGGGCTGGTGGGCCGCGAGTCCTGAGTTCTAGCTGATGAAAGGCAGTCTGACTCAGACATCGAGGTCTCCCCGGCACTCTTAGCGCCATTGTCGGGCCCCGAAGGGCGGAGCCGGTCGCGTTCCTGCCTGGGCTCTTTTAGGTTTCTTGAGAGCTGCTTCCATGGGGACCCACGCTGGCTCCGGGGCGTTTTCTCTCAGTATTGGAAGTGGGCAGTGACCCTGAGCCTCCTGGAGTTCACACACTTGAGGGAAAGTGTATGTTTATATGCTTGTCACCCCCGCCCTTAGTGAAGGCGCACTCTTGCATTTGGGAATGAGCACTTTGCAACCTCCTTTTTTCTTAGTATGGATAGTTTCCTAACAGAGCTCAGGTGAGAAGCTTTTCTTGCTCTGGGAACTTAAAGGTTTAGCTCTCAGACTTATTTATTGGGTGCTTCTGCACTTCAGGGATCAACCCAGAAATTAACTACTCAGTTCAGTTTGGGGACACAGCTCATTAGCTCCTAGGAAGATGGTGTGGAGCTGGAGCAGCAGCCCCTCAGAGCCCATTTGTGGGAGGTGACAGTGATGTGAGAGGTTGGGTGTTAGCTGGAGAGGCCTTCCTGGAGGAGGTTCTGTCTTGGTTCCCCTGTAGCACTCTGAGCAGCAGACTGGAGTCACCCTCAAACTTTGCCTTCCCCTAAGGTCTAATGGGTGATGAGGGCTCAGAGGTACCAGGTGACAGAGTTCTTTGTTCAGAAGCAGCTAAGAGGCTCGGCGCCTGTGGCTCAAGTGGCTAAGGTGCCAGCCACGTACACCCAAGGTGGCACGTTCGAATCCAGCACAGGCCTGCCAACAACAATGACGGCTTCAACCAAAAAAAATAGCCAGGCGTTGTGGCAGGTGCCTGTGGTCCTAGCTACTTGAGAGGCTGAGGCAGGAGACTCGCTTGAGCCCAGGAGTTGGGGGACAGCTGGAGGCTCCTGTCTCAAAAAAAAAA